AACATAGATTAAACAGGTTTAGGGTTAATCCTATTGATTGCATGTTAATCAGAAAGCGCACATGAATACGATCAGAATAAAGTAGAGGCCTATTATTAGGGCAGGTTCAATCTCTTTTAGGTTGGATTTGTACCTTCATCCCGGAACCCTTATTTGGTTCTAGACCTTATGGAGTTGACGATCTCTTGGATCGTTAAGGGGTGTAACCTTCACCTCGTGAACGGTTTACAAGTTCCTAAAAAAACTTGTTGGCGACTCTTTTGCTCTATCTTCTTCCCTTTTGGACGCCACCGTACTTTAGTGTATGATCACAGTGGGGTTCAAGCTAGTGGGATTTTTAAAGGCTTGAAATTATTCCCTACATACACAGAGACCTCTAGAGCTGTCTCTCAGGTCACAAAATGCTTCCCAGCCAACAAATAAAAATACAGAGGTGAAGTCTCCTTCAGTACACTCACAAGAATTGAATTAGGCATGGTACGATTGGATGTGCATATGTGATGCAAAGGAGAAAATTAAGATAGCTCAGTTGGTATGTCTTATTATTCTAATTATTAAACTACATTGTATGGAATTATGATTTTGAATTTGTAAACTAATAACTGTAATTTAATGACAAATTTTTGTTCCAATCTGTATGAGTAACCACTATAGTTTGATAGTGGTCAATTTTATGAATTAGACAATTCAGTACTTGAATAACAGGGAGTATGATGACAGACACAAGCCTTTCTATAGAATTCTTGGATCTATTGTGATAAGATTTTTTTTGGTTTACAAAAAGTAAATTGTTAAAGTAATTAAAAGTACTTTAAAAGTAAATGAAAATGTATTAAAAGTATAGATTATAATGACAGTTAAAAAATAAGATAAAATATAAAGTAAAAGATGATCCGATTAAGGTAAATAATATTTTTTTATTAAAGTAAAAGAATATCTATTAAAGGTACACATTTTATTACTTATAAAAATATAATATAAAATATAAAGTAAAAGATGTTCTAATTAAAGTAAATCATATGAAAGTAAATCATATAAATTGAAGATGCTCTAATTTGTACTATAAATTTGTTTTACTTATATATTGCTTTACAAAGGTTAAAGGTGGAGGAAATGTCAAACTTTCTGAAGAGAATTGATCATGAAAAAGCTGATGAAATTCTTGAATATGAGTTTGATGAAGTTAACTTCAAGTGGAAGACACCAAGATATACTCTTGATTGTGGTGTATTTGCAATGATCCATATGATGTGTTTTTCTGGAGAGAATTTTGATTATGACCTTGATTTAGCAAATAGGAGAAAGGTGTATCGTGCAGAAATATGTGTTGCTCTTGCTTTGGCAGACATAAACACCTAAAGAAAACAACTTCTGAGAAAAATTTCAAGGTTTAGGGTAGTTAGAAAACTAGAGAAGGAGAAAGGGGTAGAAGATATGATTTGTGTTTCTGATTTCTTGAAGAAACACAAGGATGTAACGGATAACATGAGTTTTCAATGTTACCAAGTGATCGACTACTTAGCAATCAATGATGGTGAAAACTTTCCAAACAAGAGGTATGTTTTAGACTTCCTAAAAAACAAATAATCATATTGCATTATATATAATATTGTTTGACATAAGTTTAACTTTAAGTTTAACTCTACATTACAGCGAAGTAGTTGGCTGGTTTATAGATTCAATTGAAACAGTAAGGCAAGATTGTAACGCTTTTCTCAATGAATGGAAAGTTTCAAGTAATGTGATCACTGCTTGGTCAAACCACCTGAATAACATTGAAATGGAAAAAGATAGGTCTGAAAATGACTTGATCAGATACTGTTTTGGATATGACTTCATGGTAAGTTTTTCAAATTAACTTTTATAGTTTAGAATTCTGCATCAAATAAATATTAGAAATAATAATTGAATTTTTTCATTAGAAGGATGCTTTAACAATGTGTTTGAAAGCTCATGGAAAAAAGGGAGTAACAAGTCTGCAAAAACTATGGATTGATTGGAACACTTCATAATCATTGGACTTGGACGCAGCTCAATGTGTAAGACATAATTAATATTAAAGTAGAACAATCTATGTTCAAAGTAATTAAAAATAGGTTTAAAGTAAACATGTTTATACGTAGGTGTATATACCTCTGATGTTAGAAGATCATTATTTTCTTGTTGTGATAAACTTCAAAGATGAAACAATTGATCATCTGGACAACACTTTGTACGAGACAAATGAAGAATATGAGCCAGTATAGAGTTTTATCTTAGAAACGGTAAAGAATCAATGGATTAAAAAATTATATTTAAATTCATTTTTCAATATCTTTTATTATACTAATATTCATTGTATTCAGGTGATACATGTACAGAAGTTGTTTAAAAAAGGAAGCATCCACAGGCAAATGATATGCTGACCTACAAGTTGAGAATAATTGAACTTCCATTCCAAAAAGAAAGAGAAGATAATTTCTCAGCAAGCTATCTACTGTTGCATATGAAGGTTTATGATGGTGCAAATGGCATAGGATTAGGAACAATAACAGAGGTAAGTTACCATACTTATTTTTGAAGTCGTTACACTCTAGAACTAATTTATACTAAATTATACTCTTTTTTTTTACAGGATTTTGCTAGACTGAATCACCATCATATAAGATTAGTGCTTGACCTACTTCTCAATGAAAGAAATCAAATGAAACAGAAGCTGCTAACAAATGTTGAGGATTGGGAAGAAAAGAAAGAATCAGAACAAATGTAAATGATATCAGTAGACTTGAATATATCATAGATATTTAGAGTACTTGAACTTGTGTAGTATTAATGCAAAAATTTTATTAAGTAGTGGTTGAAGATAAGTTACTGGTGCAGTTTCAAGTTCTGCAACTTGTATAGCAATTTGGTAGTTCTAGTATAATATTATGCCTTATTTTGGTTAGCATCAATTATAAATGTGAAAATTATGTGATGCTATTTGTAATTAAAACTATGGGTTTAGCCACTTAATATAATATTTCCAGTTTGTGTTAAAAAAAAAAAGAATACATATTATATATCAAAGTTAAATTACTAGGATTGTTCTTTCTCAAAAATGATGGAAGATATAAAAGTAAATGAAAATACTGTTAAAGTAAATAACAATGTGTTTAAAGTAAATACAAAAGTTTTTAAAATTTTTTTTGCTGAAATGTGGTGTTCGATTTTAAAGTAGAGAAAAATACTTTTAAAGTAATAAAAAATGAATTAAAAGTAGAGGTGGAGATGGGAAAAAGTATTAAAGTCAAAAAAATGTTATTCGATTATAAGTAAATGAAAAAAATGTTAAAGTAAATAATACTATGTTTAAAGTAAAAGGAAAAAGTTTTAAAAAAAAAACTTTATGAAATAAGGTGTTCAATTTTAAGTACAAAAAAATACTGTTAAATTAATAGAAAATGGATATAAAGTAAAGGGAGAAATGGGATATAAAAGTATTCAAGTTATAATAGTTGACCCAACTCAAATGACCCGACGCATGACCCAAAATTGACCCAAAATCATTAACCCAAAAAATGACAAAAAACCCAAAATTAACCCAACACAACCTATAACCGAGTCGAAAATGGAGTAAACCTAATGTTGACCATACACCCGAACTCACCTAACCTGAAGTTGACCATATTGAATTTGACTTGAAGAGTTTGACCCGAAGTGTTTAACCAATTCGAACATGATCTGAAGTGTTTGACCTGAAGTGTTTAACCAACTCAAATGTGATCATACAACAAACTGGTTATGGGTTAAGTCTCCTACTTCATTTGCCTCGCTAACATCCGGCCTATGTTGATCGAATTACAACCGACCTTACATTTTATTAGATTTGGTACAAGTTTAGGTGAGTTTAATAACCGGTCAAATTACATTCAATTAAAGTCAATAATTAATGGTTAGAAAATTATTAACCCAAAAAATGACACAAAACTCAAAATTAACCCAACCCAACCCATACCCGACTCGAAAATGGAGTTGACGTTATGTTAACCAAACACCCGAACTCACCTGATCCGAAGTTGACCAGCTCGAATTTGACCCGAAGAGTTTGACCCGAAGTGTTTAACAAACCCAAACATGATCCGAAGTGTTTAACCTGAAGTGTTTAACCAACTCGAATGTAATCTTATAACAAACTGAAGATGGGTCGAGTCTTCTACTTCATTTGCCTCGCTAACATCCGGCCTATGTTGATCGAATTACAACCGGCCTTACATCTTATTAGATTTGGTACAAGTTTAGGTGAGTTTAATAAATGGTCAAATTACATTCAAGTAAAGTCAATAATTAATGATTAGAAAATTAACTCAATCTAGAATTTTAGTCAAATTTTGTTCAAGTCAATACTTTTACGGGTTATAATCAAGTTGAAATCACCAAGTCAGTAATATATGGGTTACATTTGGGTCGGCTCATTTACACATCAATTCATGTTCAAAATCGGTATCTGATTTGGTACAAGTTTAGGTGAGTTTGATAACCGGTCAAATTACATTCAAGTAAAGTCAATAATTAATGGTTAGAAAATTAACTAATTCTAGAATTTTAGTCTAATTGGTTCAAGTCAATAATTTTACGGGTTATAATCAAGTTGAAATCAGCAAGTCAATAATATATGGGTTACATTTAGGTCGGGTCATTTACACGTCAATTCATGTTCAAAATCGGTATCAAATACTCTTGTCAACTCGGGTTCCACGAAAAATGTGACAAGTATTTTAGAACAAAAAATGGATATGGTAACAAGTATTCTAGGAAAAAGGGAATAATACATGCAATTATCTTTAATTTTGTAAGGAAGAACATTATATAAATCAAATAATTCATAAGATATAAAATATGATAAAAGTAAATGAAATATTTTATAAAGTTAAAGTATAATAGCTAAAAGTAAACAAACTAAACTTAAGTTCTGTAGTACAATTAATTATATTAAATGTAAAAATATTACAATAATAAAAATAATAAAAAATATTTGTTCATTAAATTTGATCTTGATCTTCCAAAACAACTTCTAATTTCCAAGTATTAAAATAACTGCACAAAAATAAACATTAGTTATATGTCACAAATTAAAGTAAATAAATTAGAATGTAAAGTAAATAAATTAAAACCTAAAGTAAATAAAAAAGGTAAAGAGGTAAAATACCAAATAAAAAATACCAAGTATAATAACACCTGCACAAAATAAAAAGTAAATGAAGTTAGTGTTAAAGTAAATAAATAGAAGTTTAAAGTAAATAGAACACACTTAAGAGTGAAATACCTGAAAGACTACTTGTTTGGACAGTTTCTACTGTAATGGGAAACACCAGATTGCCCACAAGCTCTACAAGTTCTGCTTTTTTTAGATTTTTCTTCAGTAGCTATTTCTTTTGCACTCTTCAACGTCTTTGAACTTCTGGCAGAACCCTTATTAAGACACTGATTTGGAGGCAAGACATTTACATCAACTTCATTTGACCCAACCAAACCTGAATATCAGCATCTTTCACCTCTTTTGAACTAGGTGCATTTTCAAGATTATTCTTTGATATCATCTGCTCCTCAAATGAAGATAATGTCCTAATAAGCTTAGATAAATCATCCTCAGATTGATCAGTTAAACTCACACAACTGAAAATCTTGGACCATACATCACTGACCAATTGCTTCTTCTTATCATACTTAGAAGCATCATCCGGAGCAACATCTATGATAGAAGCTTTCTTCACAACATCTTTTCTCCAACGATTCAAGATATAAGCATAAGGAATTTCTCGTATAACTTTCCTTTCATAACAAACAAAATGTGTCTACATAAAACACCTTGATTCTCAAACATTCTACAAGTACAACTTGACTCATATGTTGCCAAGTCAAAATTTACATCAAAATTTTTCCTTTTCTCATGATAAACAATAACTGAAAACTCCACACCATCTCCATACAGAGAACTACAACTTTCAACACCACATGAAAAACAGGCTGCCTGGCATTCTTCTTGAAAATCATAAAATATGGAACGAGTATAAACAACAGCAGCATGCTTTTCCAAGTGTAAATTAGTAACCAATTGAGGCTCAAGTTTATTAAGATTGTACAACTCATCCTGTTCATGCCTTTGAGCATCAAGAGCAGTTTCATAACGGACAAAGAATTCAACACAGGTCACATGAGGATTAATAAAATTACAAAAGAAACTGTTTTCACCTTCAGACCTAGATGTAGAACGCAGTAACCCACCCATAAATAGGTTAAACTCCTCCATAACACTATTCCAGCCATCAACGAATACATGAGGATCAATTTCTCTATCCCAAACTACTGCACTTAGCTTTTTCAGGAAATCAGTTTCATTACAAAAAGCAGTTCCAAGCTTTTCAGGTACCTTCCTCATTACGTGCCACATACATAGCCTATGTTTAGTCTTGGTAAAAACCTTTTCTATGGCAATACCCATTGTAGGATCTTGATCGATGATAATACAAGAGGGTTCTCTTCCCATACACTTCAAAAAAGTTTCAAATAGCCACAAAAAAGAATCTATGTCTTCTTTAGATAATAGAGCAACACAAAATGTAACACATCTCTTGTGATTATCAACACCAGTAAAAGGACAGAAAACCAATGAATATTTATTTGTATCATAGGTAGAATCAAAAGATAAAGAGTCCCCAAATAATTGATAATCTCTTCTACCAATAGCATCAGCCCAAAAAGCACGGGTCAAATGCCTACTTCCATCAACACAGTAATCAAATTAATAACCCCCTTTACTGGTTTTCACTTTTTGTTCAAGGTTCTGAACAAACATTGCACCATCAGCATTAGAGATATAAACTTTCAAGTCCCTAGAAAAATTTTTGAAATCATTTTTACTGCCCCTGACATTTTGAAACCCACCACAAAGTTTTTTCATGATCCTATAAGACATAACAACCCCTATATTTAACTTTGAGTTGTCAAAAATAAACTTCTTATGAGCAAAATTTAAACCAACTTCATGTTTAGTAACCTGCCTAGTAATAGGTGTAGAAAAAGGGTGAGAATGATATTCTTAAAAACAATACACCATATATATACTTCCCACCAATACAGAACCTAAATTTTATCTTAGCAGGACAACCAACTCTCTTCACAGTCTTTCTCTTTAAACAAGCACCTTCAACTTGTTTACCAGGTTTCTTGTTATTTGTCACATACCCTTCTTTGCTACATAATAAATATTTAATTATAGTAAATCCTTTACTAGTAGGATTATTCTTATTCTTTTGTGATTTAGTAGTACTAGAACGGACTTTAAATCCACACTCATTAGCATATTTGTAATAAAAGGCAATACCATCTTGAAGGATATCAAATAACATTCCAACAAAAGGTTTGTTTTCAGAAGAACATGGCATATAGTCTTTATCACCTCTAGAATTATAATATATTTTAGGAAGCAAAGGCTGAGTGGGTGTTTTAAAAATTCTTACATTGTTATCTTCAGTGGTGACAGAAGAAGAACAATGTTCTATGTTTTCAGACATGTTCCTGAAAAGTAATGAATAGACGAAAAAGTAAATAAACAATAAATAAAAGTAGATAAACTATAACCAAAAGTAAACAATATTTTTAAAAAATATGCTCTACGCTTTCACACATGTTCCTGAAAAATTAATGAATAAAAGGAAAAAGTAAATAAACAGTAAATAAAAGTAAATAAACTATAACTAAAAGTAAACAATATTTTTAAAAAATATACTAATAAAAACTATTAGAGATATACTAAAAAGTAGATGACTCAAAGCATAAAGTAAATAAAAAAAATTAAAAAACTTGAAGAAAATAGAAAACTAATAATGAAAAGTTAATGACTGAATGCAAAAAGTAATTTAAAACAACAACAAATTATACTACTAGATTAATAACAACAAACAATATATCAACTATATGCAGACACAACTACATTGAATCCGTAAGTGTAAAACCATAAAATAGGAATTAAAAACCAATATCGTAAAAATAAAACCCAAAATCAAACAATAAACTGTATAGAATAATTCAAAGAACAATTAATAATCAAAAATTAAGAAAAATTACAATAAAAACCCTAAATCGAAAAAATAAGCTCAAAATAAACAATGAAATCAAAATAAACAAACAAAATACAAATATAATTAGAAAATTACCTCAATGAATGAAAAAACCTGAAGAATACGATGTAATAAAATATCAAAAACGAAATATTTGGGCAAAAAAATTCGCGAAGTCGAAGAACTCAAATCCACGGCGGAGAAATTGATGTTAGAGAGAGAAAATGTGGACGCGTAGAGAGAGAAACTGAATGGAAAAGAGAGAGAAAGAAAGGAGGTCATTCATTTTGGCAAAATTACCAAAATGCCATTTCTGAATTAAAAAACGCGGGTAAGATGTCACCCATTGGATCAAGGAAGATCAACGCACCAGATTAGTTTCTAGTTCCTATTCTATGCTTAGGTTCTCACATGATCCCATATATATATATATATATATATATATATATATATATATATATATATATATATATATATATATATATATATATATATATATATATATATATATATATCCCTACCTTATAGAAAGTAGAAAATAACTCTTAGCACTAGTAGAAAAAATGCTATTTGTAACCGGCGAAATTGACTTTTTGTAACTGGCATTGTTGGTTGCGAATGCCACCGTTACAACTAGTGAAAACTATTTATAACTAGCTAATGTTAGTTACTAATAATGTACTATTCGTAACTAACCTAAACTAACGCCAGTTACTACTAGTCTATTTCCCAAGCTAGAAAACATACTATTTGTAACTAACCTTAGGTTACGTCAGTTACGAATAGGTTATTATTTGTAACTTGCATATCCTAACGCCAGTTACAAATAGTATTTTTTATTTTAAAAAAAAAATCTATTAGTAACTAGCACTAGATTATGCCAGTTACTAATAAATGTATTTTTTTAATAAATATTTGATTCAAATACAACAAGCTTGGTAGTATACCATACCGAACGACCCTTTGTCAAATGTGGTAAAACCTGTTACAATTCAACTAACATAACACGTACTCCAAATAATTCCCTGTAACTAGACTTCACCTACAACATACAATACAACAAAATAAACTATACTTTCAACAAAACAATTAAAACTTGAAAAAAAAAAATTATTAATTTAAAATTTAGGAATGTAATAACAATAACCAGTACGTAAAATAAAAGTAGATATACAGAAATGTGTTATGGAGTATATTGTTTTATTAAGCTATATGCGAATACTCATAACATCAACAAGAAAGCTAGCTTAGTCTTTCAACTAAAAAATTAAGTCTAAATAACTGAGACAAACTATGATCGAATCATATTCATCTCGATAAACAAACTTCATCTAGTTAGGTGAGGGGAAAGCACTCCATCACTTGATGTCTAAAGATGGTATAAGAAATAACCTCCTAGTTGACTTAGTGAAGCTACAAGTTTGTTGTGCAAAGTAATTTCCTTAGTAGGGAAGCCTATTGACGAGATTTTGTTGACCAAATGTTGAGTTGCGAGAAAAAGGTCCTGGCACAAAGAACATAATGAAATGAAAAACATTCAGCATAGGGAAAAAGTAATAAGATGATTAGCAGTAGCACACCTTAAGACAGTTGCGGGGATTAAGATCGACATCTAGAGGCATTAAGAAGGTTGTGTTGAAAGGGGTACATAAGTTTGGTATAAGGTCCCTTGCAGTAGTTCCATCAAGGGTATGTATTGGACAAGTTGGTAGACTATTGAGAGCATTCCGCAAATAAGAAGCTAGAGTTATAAAGTGAGGAGATGAAACGGATTATGGTTGTGAAATGAAGTATAACCTGGTGCATGACATCCAATATCTTGTTATTAATAGGTGGCCTCAATATGCCCCTGATGTAAAATTTATAGCATTAGATTCAAGAGTTGTAATGTAAGTGGTAGTAAGTAAAACTTATAGCATTAGATTTGAGAGTTGTAATGCTAGTAAAACTTATAGTATTATTATATACTTTTACAATACTTGTAGCTAACTACCTTTAGGAGAATAGGGGTGAACGAGGCCTCCGGCAACTCCAGAAGCGCCACCAGCAATGCCAACATCATAAAAAATGCCAACTTGCACTTTCAACTCCACACATGATTTACATTAAGTAAGCCCTGTTCTTGAAAAAGTAGAAATTGATGTTTCTCACAAACTGATACATCACACAGCTTTGGCATATTCCTTTTTTTTTTTTTTTTTGTAGAAAACAGGAAATACTAGCATGAGATTATAAACAGGAAATACATGAGATTATTATAATTAGGGATATTCCCATTGATACACTCCAGGTTTTGACTTTTCTCAATGGTACCACATTTTTTTTTACTTCCTACTGATACACCCAAGGTTTTGACTTTATAATTCACGTACCTAAGTCTGTTAATCAGACGTTAATAACTTGATAAATTAACATCTTAGGCTTAGTAAAAGATGAAATGACTAATATACCCCTTTTTTAATCCATTCCCTCCAAATTTTTCCCCTTAAATTGTCTGTTATTTCCCTCCAACTTCTCAAACCCTATTCCCTCCCTAAAAAAAGCCAATTTCCCCTCTTCTATTCTCCATTAAAGTTCTCTTCCATTGTTACAAACTTATCTCATCTCCATTAAAGCTCCCTTGCTGCAAACATATCATTGACTGTGTATGTTTAATATTGAGATCAACTAAAATAGACAAAGTAACTAAAATGTGGGACAAATTGAAATAGACAAAATGACATCAGTTGCCAACATTCATTAATATATATAGGTTATTTGGGAACATTGCAAAAATCCAACTTTCAATCGTAAAGTTGTCTACTAAATTACCAAATAACAACAGCAAAAATCATCCCAAATGACAAAAAAACAGAGTTAACTACAAGTTTTGACTTTCTATAAAATTATCAAAATGCATATGCCACTATACTGCAGAACAAAAGACTTAGGAGCTTGGAGAATTTGATTTTCATTGAGACATAGGCACTGGTTGGCTAGGCAACTGTGAAGCTGTCAGTACTATTGCTTCCTCAGCTGAGGGTCTGCCCTTCTGTCCCTTTGCTTGTTTAGCTGAAGCTGCAGACTGAGATCCAACTTCTTCAGATTTCTTTGCTGCCTTAGCTGCCTTTGCTGCATTACTTTGGTCTCTGACCCTAGGATTTTTTATGACAACAGGCTCATTTGACTTCAGTTCTTTCCCAGTTAACCCTCCCTTACAAGTTGTCTTATTATGGCCAAAGCAACCACATTTGCTACATTTGACTGTTTTGGACCTTTTTCCAGGTTGCTCTTCACCTTCCTCCCTCTTTCTATTCCTACGTGGTCTTCCAATTCCCCTCTTCATTTTAGGAGGCATGATGATTGTACCTAACTCATCTGCAGGCCATTGATGTGTGTCAGGAATTGGGTTAATGCAAACACTATAAGCTTACTTAGGGATAGACTCATATCATAGCAAAACAATCAAAAAATTGAAACACAAAGAGGAAAGTACTTGCCTTTTGCCTATCAGAAATAATGGTCCAATGCTCCCTTGATGAGTCTTTCACAATGTTTGGGAAGGTGCATCAATTGGTTGTGCAGATTTGGATTTGTTCCTTAACCTGTTGATCATTCTATTTAAGGCACTTGGTTTCTTGGCAAACCCAACCCAAATATGATACATCTCACAGTCACCTAGGGTATGAATCATCTTAAAAAATCAGCATCATTTAGTAAAGGGTGATTCTTTTCATTGTGACCATAACCAAAGGTAGGGTTGATTAAGGGATACTCAGTGCCTAATGCAGTAGTGTCCTCAAAATCCATAATCAAGTCCATCAAATTACATCTATCTAAGTCAACATCAATATCAACATGTTTATCCCAGTAATGAAACCTTATCACAACATCACCCATTCTGCAAAATAAGGTAAACAATGCACACACTTACAACATGCAAATCAATTCCAATTCAATTATCCAACAATCAATCAAACATGATCATGTCATTTCATTCAATATAATTCCATATTCTAAACCAATAATTGAACAAACATAAGCCCCCACCTAATATACATGAAAGAACCCTAAAATCGCACAAATATACATCATTAAAATCATGAATTAAACCTAAAATAGCATATTAAAACAGAACATCAAACAAATGCACCAAATCATGCATAAATGAACAGTAGTAGTGCTAAAGTACCTGAATTATGCAAGATTTCCCTCTAATGGCTTTGTAGACCAACGAAATTAGCAAATTTTCCCTTGCAAACCCTTCGTGAATTCAACAGAGAGCAGAGGAGAGAGAGATGAAATTTGAAAGTGAGTTTGGTTTATGTCAAATCGACATAAATGGAAGGGGAAGGGTTTTTTATCGTTGGAGGGAAGGGTTTAAAAGGGGGTAAATTAGTCTTCTTTTTTTTTTTTTACAAAATTATATTTTAACCAAGATTTACTAACTTATTAACGTCTGATTAACAGACTTAATCACGTGAGTTAGTAAGTCATAAACTTGGGTGTATCATTAGGAAGTCAAAAAAAAATGTGGTACCGTTGGAAAAAGTCAAAACCTGAAGTGTATCAATGGGAATTTCCCTTATAATTATATGCAAAGATTAACAGGAAATACATGAGATTAACTCACAAACTGAACTATATATGATCTTCATAGTCTGAGAAACATGTTGCCCTCAATATCTGCCACCATCTAGCACCTAATTTACTCATTATAATAAGCATTAAAAAAAACTTGAACTCGCAGCATAACTTGGAACAAAATCGCACACAAACAGCAATAACTATTAACTCGGACTAAAACTGACACAGTTGCGGAAAACAGTCCAGTTTAATAGAAAAAGAACTCGAAAAAATCTGAAATTTTGTAGGCAGAAAGTAGACAAAATTTCACCCAATTTCAAAAAAAAGAATTACCTAAAAAGACCTCGTAACGAAGGAGAACGAGCCTTCTGAAGTTAACCAAGCAAACTGATCCTCCGAGAACAAGTGCGACTAATCAATAACTTTAAGGAGTTATTGATAATATTAAGAGAATTAGAAGAATTTAGAATTGTATTTATTGATCAAAACATTCGACCAACATGGATATTTAACAAGTCTTGCCCCTTGGGCTCCAAGCAAGAGATCATATCAAAACCTATCAAGCTTAGGAAACTAACAAACCTTTCGTAATATAAACTAGAAATATATATTGCATAATCAAATAATATATCCTAAAGATATGATAATATCTTTCCTAACACCCCCCCTCAAGTTGGAGCACTAGGATCGAATGTGCCCAACTTGCAAAGAAGGTAGTCAAATTGAGGACGAGCCAAGGCTTTCGTAAATATGTCAGCCAATTGTTCATTGGTGCGAACATGAGTAGTAGAAATAAGTCCTTCTTGCACGGCATCTCTAACAAAGTGGCAATCCACTTCAATATGTTTTGTGCGTTCGTGGAACACGGGATTTTGAGCAATGTGTATTGCTGCTTGACTGTCACAATAAATAGGGACTGCTCGGGAATGTTGGATCCCCAAGCTTAGAAGTAAGCCTATCAACCATTTAATTTCACAAGTAATTCCATACATAGAACGGTACTCAGCCTCGGCAGAAGAAGTGGCAACCGTGGCCTGCTTCTTTGTTTTCCACGCAATCGGTGACTTCCCTAGGAACACCAACCACCCCGACAGAGAGCGGCGAGTGAGAGGACACACTGCCCAGTCGGAGTCGCACCAACCTTGTAACAAGAGCTCACTATCCAAGCTAAGCAAAATACCTTGACTTGGAGTACACTTAAGATATCGAACCACCCTTAAAGTGGCATCCCAATGCTCTTGTTGAGGAGCCTTCATGAATTGAGATAATACATGGACCGAATAAGTCAAGTCTGGTCGAGTGACACCCAAATAAACCAAGCGCCCAACAAGGCGTCGATAGGCACCCGGATCCGTCAGTAGAGGCCCTTTAGCATGCGCCAATCTATGATTTTGCTCCATTGGCGTGTGAACAGGCTTGGCCCCAAGAAGACCCGTCTCTGATATGATGTCAAGGGCATACTTGCGTTGACATAAAAATATCCCTTTACTACTCCTAGCCACTTCAATGCCAAGAAAATATTTTAGTACACCCAAATCCTTCATGTGAAAACAAGTGCTCAAATAATGCTTGAACAATTTTATAGCATTTGAATTATTTCCGGACACAATTAAATCATCAACATAAACAAGAACGTTGAGTTGAATAGACCCCTTGGTATATGTAAAGAGAGAGTAATCCGGGTATGATTGTACAAAACCATATCTTTTCAAAGCGGTAGTGAGCTTGGCAAACCAACACCGCGGAGCTTGTTTGAGACCATATAGAGACTTGCGAAGGCGACAAACAAGACCCGGTTCATCTGTAGTAAAACCTGGTGGGAGTTTCATATAAACTTCCTCAGTCAAATCACCATGAAGGGAAGCATTATGCACATCCATTTGATGTAGTTCCCAATTTTTCGAAGCAGCTATAGCAAGGAAAGCACGAACAGTCGTCATCTTGACCACGGGAGCAAATGTTTCATCATAATCAATACTTTCGGTTTGATGATTACCGAAGACAACCAATCGAGCTTTTAAACGCTCAATGCTACCATCAGATTTGTACTTAATTTTGTACAACCATTGACTACCAAGGGCCTTCTTCCCGGGAGGCAAATTTTCCAAAGTCCACGTGCCATTGCTTTCAAGAGCACTCATTTCTTCCCTCATTGCTTGCTTCCAATCTTCATCACACATTGCCTCTTTGAAGGAAACGAGGCTCTTTACCTGATGTTATAGCTGCAACAAAATTTCGATGTTTCGCAGAAAACTTATCACAACTAACATAATGTGCTATAGGATACGACATACCTGGGGGAGGTGGAGCAACTGGAGCAGGTGAAGAAGATGGACTATTTCGGGTAACCTGAGCATGAGTCACAAATCCTTTGAGTCTAGTCGACACAAATTTTTGTCGATGACCACGCCCCATGTCATCAGGGGTCGTGGCTGCTGCTGTCGGGTCCTCTTGGACCGTAGCTTCGGGGGTCGGAACAGCAGCCACAGCCGGCTGTGGCGGCACCGTAACCACAGGCGGCTGCTGCTGCCTTTTTTCGTCGAGGGTGGCTTGGTCTTCATCGAGTATGTATGTAGCATCCAAGTCCCCTCCCAAGTCAACACTAGCATCCATGTTAGGTGTTGAAACATCAATATTTGTACCGTCGGCATCCAAGTATGGATGCACATCCTCAAAGAAACGAACATCCCTTGAGACAAAGAACTCCTTTTTATCCAAGTCATATAAATACCATCCCTTTTTACCAAAAGGGTACCCAACAAATACACACTTTTGACTACGACTCGCAAATTTGTCACTTTTTGCCCTTTGATTATGAGCAAAACACGAGGACCCAAAAACCCGCAACTCACTAAACAATGGTGGGGTGCCAAATAAGATTTCATATGGAGTTTTATTGTTTATAAGGACAGTTGGTGTTCTATTAATTAGATGAGCCGCCGCAAGAGCACATTCTCCCCAAAAATAAATTGGTAACCCCCCCTGAAATCTAAGGGCACGAGCAACATTGAGAATGTGTTGGTGTTTTCTCTCTACTCTCCCGTTTTGTTGAGGGGTTCCCACACAAGATGTTTGAAAAATAATGCCTTGAGCCAAAAAATAATTTTTCAAGCAAAAGAATTCAGTGCCATTATCACTACGGACTATTTTAATTTTCTGAGAAAATTGTCTATCAATCATGGCTATAAAGGACATAAACATCTTAAACACCTCCGTTTTATCATTCAATAAATATATCCATACGGCACGAGAATAATCATCAACCAAAGTCAAAAAATAGTGTGCACCACAAGAAGAGGGTTCTTTGTACGGCCCCCATAAATCACAATGAACAATTTCAAAAATACGAGAAGCTTTATTTTCACTTAAAGGAAATTTGTCCCTAGTGTGTTTAGATCTATGACACACCTCACAATCTTTATTTAAATGACCCCTAGAGTTGCTAAGAAAAGGAAGGAGCTTTACAACTTTCTCGGAAGGGTGTCCCAATCGTCTATGCCAAAGCTTCAAATTGGACGAGTCTTCGATAGAAACGGCCGCTATGGATGCCTCCTCCCGAAAATAGTATAGTCCATCCCTTAGATCACCCGTGCCAATCACCTCCCTCGTGCGTTGGTCCTGTATAGTACATGTGAGAGAGTTAGTTATGACTTCACAAGAGCTAGTAAAGCACAATTGTGAAACCGAAATTAAGTTACAATTTAATTTAGGCACAAAAAGAACATTAGAAAGAGTGATTTTTTCAGTGAGTTTGACAACTCCCTCCTTCATGGCAATAACATTCTGTCCATCCAGAAGGCCCACATTACAAGGAGACACTTCACGCACATCGGTCAAGCATGAAAGATTTCCGGTGACATGATGAGAACATCCGGTGTCGATAATCCACTTACCATTCACACGATGGGGTGGGGGTTGGGTGTTCCCCATGACAGCCATGACTGCCTGCCACTGTTCGGCCGAGAGTGGTGGGATTTGTGCAGCGGCTGGTGGATAAACAGGGGCAGTCGTAGGAGGGGTGGCATTGGCTTTAATTTGTGTGTTCTGTCCTCGATCAGAGGTATTATTGCTGCGTCCCACAGGTCGTTTATTGGGCTCCTTCAACCCATATCTCTCGGTATACCACTCGGGCACACCATGTCTCGCAAAACAAGTGCTTGCATCGTGACCCTTCTGCTGGCAATAGGTGCATACGAGGGCTGCCTTCTCCGCACGCGAAAGGCGTGGCTTCGGTTTATTCTCCATCCGGGCTGCAAAGCCGACCACCTCAGGGGGTTCTTCTTTATGGTTGGCAATTCCTCTAACACGTTCTTCTTGAGCGATTGTTTGAAACGCTCTGTTTAATGAAGGCAGGGGATCTTGAGAAAGAAGAGTGGAGCGCAAGGCGGCATAGAAATCCGAATACAACCCGAGCAAGAATTGCTGGAGTCGGTCACCGTCGCGCCGTGCAATATGCTGCTTTTCTATATCACATGTACACTTGCCGCACTTGCAATTGATTAGAGGTTCATGTTTATCAAGCTCATCCCATAAGACCGATAATTTGCTAAAATAAACCGCAACATGCATGGATTTCGGCTGCTTACACCGACTGATTTCTGATTTTATTTGTTGTATACGAGGGCCATTCACAAGTCCAAAGAGTTCTTGCAAATCATCCCATAGCTTTTTAGCATTGTCATAGTTCGAAAGCGTAGAACGAACTTCAGGGTCAATGGTGTTCATAAGCAACGATACGAGCATACAATGTATCGTAACCCAATCATCCTTTGTGCAAGGAGGAGCATAGCTCGTGATTGTGCCATCAAGAAAACCAAATTTGCGTCTGGAAGATAATGCAATATAGATAGCGTGAGACCATTCATTGTAATTGTCAAGTTTAAGTCTTTGAGAAGTTATAAAATCACCCGAACGATCTCGAGGTCCAAGGTAATAGGGCGAGTTAGACTCGATTTTAGGAGGTGGTGGTGGTGGTGTGTCGGCCATGGTGGTCTAAAAAAAATTTTAATTTTGTTATTACCTTAAATCCGATACCATGATAATATTAAGAGAATTAGAAAAATTTAGAATTGTATTTCTTGATCAAAACATTCGACCAACATGGATATTTATACAAGTCTTGCCCCTTGGGCTCCAAGCAAGAGATCATATCAAAACCTATCAAGCTTAGGAAACTAACAAACCTTTCCTAAGATAAACTAGAAATATATCTTGCATAATCAAATAATATATCCTAAAGATATGATAATATCTTTCCTAACAGTTATGAATGCAATAAAATATCAAAATTTAAACCCTCAGATCTTAATCCCATGAATTTCAGACACAACAATTTTGCCAATCTTATTAATAATTCATCATCTAAACCCTCAACCTCAATTTTCAATTCACAACTCTCATTCTCTTGAAATCAACATCAACCAAAACATCAATTAAACAATCGAACGAAAATTTTACGATGATACATAAAATTAAATGAACAATATCACATAATTATTATCAGCAAACAAGATTCAATTAAAACAAGATTCAATTAAAACATTAGGGCTATTATTGAATTAAGAAAGGGAAAATTACAAGAACCCTAATTCGAAAAATTACATACCATTAAACCTCGATCTAGAACCACTTTTTCTGTACCCAAATTCGAAACAAAAAAAAAAAACAAAAAATTCTGATTGAAGAAGTTACGGAAGAAGTAAGAGGAAGAAGCTGTAGGAGGAACAAGTTGCGCAAGAAGTTGGAGCCAAAGGGAAAAAAAAATATCAAGTCCTTACTTCATATATATGACAATGTATTTGTAACTGGTCTTTGACTCTTCGTAGTCAGTTACAAAATATTCGGTCAAAATTTCTTTGACTTAATATTTGTAACTGGCGCTTGTAATGTAGTTACAAAATTTTTGGTCAAAGTTTCTTTGACTTGATATTATTTTTCAAAAAAAAAAATTTAATCAAAAATTAAAAAAATTAAGAGAAAGTATAAAATTAGAAACTTTCCTTCAAAAAAAAAAGTAAACTAGAAACTTAATATTTGTTGGTTTAAAAAAATAAAAATTATTGTTAGACTTATTATTTATAACCAGCGTTTGTAAGCTAGTTACAAAATTTTTACTTTGACTTATTATTTGTAACTGGCGTTTGTAAGCTAGTTACAAATGTTTTGGTCAACTTTTCTTTGACTTGTTATTTGTAACTGGCGTTTCTAAGCTAGTTACAAATGTTTTGTTCAACTTTTTTTGACTTAAAATTTGTAATTGGCGTTTATAAGCTAGTTACAAACGCTTTGGTCAAACTTTCTTTGACTAAGTATTTGTAACTGGCGTTTGTAAGCTAGTTACAAGTTTTTTAGTCAAATTTTTTGTGACTGAACATTTGTCACTGACATTTATTTAGTTAGTTACTAATAAAATTTCAAATAAAGATACACCACATATTAGTAACTGACATTTACTACGTTGGTTACTAATGTCATGGAATTTGTAACTGGCATTATCTTAGTCGGTTACTACTGATGCTTCTGCAACTAGCATAATAATATACGCCAGTTACTAATAGGGCGTTACAAATAACATTTTTTCTACTAGTGTAGGAATAGTGTGCTATCAACTATACCCTCAAAAATATGTAAAAAATTGTGTAAAAAAATGTATATTTACTTTTTTACCCTCATTAATACGTTTACTCGCATTAATATATTTAATTAATTTTTTTTCATTAAACATACCATCAATTAATACAAAGTTTTTTATTAACAAAAATTTGTAATGCCTTTTTTTAAAAATAAAATAATTATAGTGTTTTGTACTTCATATGTTATTATTATTATTTAAAATGGAAAACAAATGTATGTACGAAGACTTTGTTTATTACCACGAGATGATTTATTTTTACTCCTTCGTGGTTGCTCTTCTTATTTACAATTTTGTTGTCCTTTAATTACAATTATTGTTAAGGTTTATTAGCTTTTCAATTGTACATTATTTGATGGCACGCACATAAACAACGTGGAATTTAAATGACATTCATATTAAATAATGATATTTGAGCAGATGTTATCAAGAGGTATAAATAACTTTAAAATCCTAAAATCGAGGGACATCGATGATAGAAAAAATGTATTAAATATGGAGAGAATTTAAGAGGAAAAATATAACTAAGTGGTTATAGCTTTAGTATTAGATATAGATATAGATATTAAATGGTCGTAGAACATTGAACTTACATTATTATGTTTATAGCTACAACGAACATTTCACATATTATTACTCCGTATGACACTAGTGGAAAAAATATCATTCGTAACAGGCTATTTGTAACGGGCAAAGTTTTGCCTGTTACAATTAAGATATTCGTAACGGGCAAAATAGTGTCCGTTACAAATACTTATTTATTTGTAACGGGCGAAATGTTGTCCGTTACGAATACGTATGTATTTGTAACTGACAAATTAGTGCCCATTACAAATAAATAAGTATTCGTAACGGACACTATTTTTCCCATTACAAATACTATATTACACGTAACTTGGCCCAACTGATAGAGGAGCCCATTACTTGGCTTTTAGGGTTTCACCTAATAGCCGTCATTTCTCCGCTCCTCCTCTCTCTCTCTCTCTCTCTCTCTCTCTCTCTCTCCCCTCTCCTCTCCTTTCCTCCTTGTCATTCTCCTCTCCTCCTCCTCTCTCTCCTCCCCGTCCTTCTCTCCTCTCCTCCATCAATCTTAGAGAAAAAAACTATTGTGCTTTCGTTGTCGTTGTCAATGTCGAATTTGAATTGCGATTTGTCTTTAATTTCATAGCCTCCATTTTCGAACTACTGCGCTTTGTCGTTGTCAATGTCTCCGTTGTTGACTACTCTTCTGGCGAAGTCCGATGACTTGCTTTCGGAATGGGAGCGAGTTTATCTTCCGATTGATCCTGGTGTTGTTCTACTTGATATCGCCTTTGTTCCTGGTGACCCTAATCACGGTGCGGTGCCCGTTACAAATAACAAAGGCCATCCGTAACGGCCGCATACCTAACGGACGCTGCCCGTTACGGATGGGTATTTTTTGCCCGTTACGGATGGCCTTTTTTCCACTAGTGTGACCAAGCTAAAAAAAAAATTCGTTTGAAGAAAAATATGTTAGGTATTATTGAATCATGCAAATCAATTAAGAGTTCTAAACTAGCTTAAGATATGAAGGGATGCAAATCTAAATATTGTTTAATAATAATTTTGAAATTACACTGTCAAATTTTTGAAGGTTTTAAAAAATAATTGTCATTAAAGATTTTGGTGGATTTTTATACTTATACAAAACTACTATATAGGCACATAAACCAAATAGTACGTATTAAAACTACCAGGTTTACCACCCAAACCAAAGCAAGGTGTAATAACGTGCTAATACAACTTCTATGCAAGGGCTAACTCTTCGCGCGCGATGCGCGCGCGTAGGATACCCTAGTGTGTCTGTGTGTGTATATATTGTATATATATATATCTAATGGTCAATTCATAAAGAACATGAACTGTACCTACCTTACACATCATGCTGATGTTGCTCAAGTTAGGCCCTGTTCTCTTCACCTTAAAAAAATAATATTAAGTAAAATAATTTCAGTTCAGTAAAATAAGTTTAGATCAGTAAAATTAACACTACAACAAAATAAGGCATCGGTAACAACAAAAAAGTGTTACCTAATGTTAAAAAAGTGTTGCCTTGTATCTAAGGCAACACAATTGAGGCGTAGCATTTACCTCCGTGGCCTATTCTTTAGGCAACACATTTTGATACAAAGGCAACAATTTTAAAAGCAAGTCTAAGAGATACCTAAGGCAACAATTTAAACTATCACCTAATCTCCAATATGCAACAATTATTTGTTTGTCGTATATGTTAATAATTAAAAGGGAGTGTTGCCAATTGTTTCAAAAGCAACAACTATAAGTTGTTGCCCGTAAATACAACCTCCTAGAATTTGCTGCCCACCAAATAATTATTTTTTATTATGATAATTGTTTGAATTATTCTTAAATTGAGCACCATATGCGATCCCTGTGAAATATTCATTGTGATGTTAATAATTTTTTAAGACCATTTTGTTAATCTCTAGGTAAGAAACAATTATCATAATAAACATTTTTACAATAAACTTCAAAGATTCAAGCAAATATTAGCATCCATAACTACATAAATTTTGATCCCCAATTAGATTCACATAGTGCAATAAACTTGATGTCTAAGATTGTACATACTACTTATAAATATATATAACAAAATAAAGAAAATATAGACAGTAGAGTTTATACAACTCCATGGAGTGACAATAATGGACTAGCATAAGTGTCAATCATGCATGATCAAATTAAGTCTTCATCTTCGTCTTCAATGGCTTCTTCTTCTTGTTCATCAGTCATGTGGTTCACCCCCTGTAAAATAAAATGAAATAAATAATTCAACAACATTCCTAAATAGGAATTTTCGTGATAAAATTTTATTAGTGTTTTGTTAGTGTTGTATTATAGATAATGGAAATTGTAGTACATGAATAAAAATATTTATAATTTCAAATCAATTCCTGAAATAGAGTTGCCCATTGAATAATCACAATTGGGATGATTTCATTACAAATAATCTATACAATGTCAAAACTAACTTCGCTCAAAATAACCTCCTCTCCAACTAAGTATTTGAGATGATTATTACTGATTAGTAGTATGTCTTAAGTTGGTATTAAAACAGTCCTCAAATTCAGCATTACACTATTAATTTACTCTTTTTAAAAATATTATGTACCTGATTAGATGTAGATGCAGACTGAAGTGGAAGCATTCCTTCCATATTATCTTGACAATTAGCATCCTTCTCCGAGTGATCATCAAGCAATAAAGAGCCAAACACACCAAGGTCAAAAGACGTGTGAGGAATTTGTTGTTGAAGTTGAGAGAAGAGGGATCGAAGACCATTGGCTAACTCCACTCTATCTTGCTGCCTCCTATCTTCATAATATTTTTCAATAGCTTTAACTTCGTTTGCATGCTTCTTTTCGGTCTCCTTCATCATAGCCTTTTGATTTAATTGAGTAGAAGAAACATCCCTTCCTTGAAGGCATAACTTACCCTTCTTTTTGTCACTAGAATTAAATACAGCAGCAACGACACTATCACCATCTTTTGGTGAATTTATATCTCCGAGTTCTCTCTAGTTTTGAAAAGATAAGAAAATTAATGCAAAGAATAATGTGTGCAGCAAGTTAATTTAGTATATATATATATATATATATATATATATATATATATATGTATAATTAATTTGAATCTTACAATTAGTTTGTCCCTTGGGTCACCCGGCTTGCGCTTTGTCTGCTTTTCCTTGCGTGTTTCAATAAACATTTCTGCTAGTGTTGGTTTTTTTGTTGTTTTTCTCTCCTTTTTCTACACATGTTTGGTAAATATTGATAATATTAATTTGTAAATGAAATAAATATATTATGTGATAAGTAAATACTTACCCACTTTTCTTGGACCCTAGCAAAACTCTTTGGCCCTGCCGTATGCATAACATTTTTTTCTTTTCCCACTAGACAATTTGCTGTATTTTGCTCACTAATTTCCTGAAAAAAAAATTTACCTTAATAAATATCTTTATAACACAAAGAATTTACATACTTCATTTATAAGGGAGGGAAGTCAAAGCAAATTATTATTTTACATACCTTATGCTTGTCACTATGCCAAATTTTCAATAATTCTTTAAACATTATTTTTGGAACCCGTATTGGGCGCTTCTTCATCCTCATCTTATCATTGTCATACTTTTTAAAATGATTTTTTTTCAGACTACACTTGTAGGCTCTCCAACAAGAACCAATGGTTTGCAAAACCCATTTCTTACCCTCAATAGGAACTATGTAATGTTTCTGCAGCAATACAAAAAAAAGTAAGTAATACTAAATCTGAACAATATAGAAAAAGCAATGTTTCCAATTCTTCAAAATTATTCAGAGATCCTAGTAGAATTACTTATTAAATGACATAAAGGAGTGTAGACTATTTGCATAAAAAATTGCATTGTGTATATGTTGGAAGTAATGAAGTTTGTTAATTTGATGTTACTAGTAATTGGACATATATTTATAAAACAGATATAGTATGACAGGTTATTTAATGCAAAGAACTGGACCAAAACAGCACTGGTGCTTCTAAGTTACATGAGAGTTTGACTAATCAGAAAAGAAACTATAGGAAAACTGGAGTTACTTCATGCTTCTGGAGGCAAGAATTAGCTCTTACTAGTAGCTACTAGCACGTAGAATTGTTTTCTATTTATTCTTGTTAATTTTGTTTGTAGCACATTTGAATGCTCAAGTCCATTCTTTTACAGGTTATTTGATTAAAACAAATTTCATTGGCTACCTAGTTGAGGGTAGACTTGTGAGAGTTCTTAAAATACACTACTGCTGCACACACGGAAACACCTACATCACACTTTTGCACCACTGTGTTCTTCTAGCACATATTATATACCCAACAAACGTCAGCCACACACACTGATAGGGAGTGCCAAGAACAGGAGACATTCCAGCAGTACCAGCAAGACGATTAAAAATCTTAAAATCTCTGCAAAAATGTCTTAAATTTATAAAACTAATTTACAGCATATAAAAGCCATATAGTATAGACACTTATATAACAATGATAGCATAATTACTTAATTGATTAAAGTAACTCACCATGACATATTCCCACAGCTCATCTTTCTTCTCGTTCCTTAATATGGGCCAATTTTGGATAGTTAATGGTAGGATATTTGCTTTTCGAGCTATTGTTCCTAAGAAGCTAGTGAACTCGTTGCAAGTTTTGTCATCAGGACCAATAGGCTGTCCATGCTCATTCAAGGTAATTTCTAAACGTTCTTCTTCGCTGCGTCCATGGACTTTATAGCACATAGTTGGTCCTCTTCTAGGCTTATCCATTCCACCTAACATGAACAAAGATATTCCAAAATTATATAAAATAATGATTGATCATATGTAGGTATACATTTTATAATTTTTAAATATAGAAAAGAAAGAGAGCTTGCCATTTTCTTTATCATTCTCATTTTGATCTAAGTGTCTGACTTCCAATTCTAGTGTTTCAACAGGTTCTCTTCTTATAACATGATGTTGTGATGCATGACTAGGGGTAGATGAGCCACCAGATGAAGAAGATGAAGAAGCCAGATGAACTTTCTGTCGACATTTCTTAAAAGCTGAAGCAATTTTCACTGATTTTTGAGTCACAGCCTTCATTTTGCGAATCTGTGAATGTGAAAAAAAAAAATAAAGAAAGAAGTACGATACTCTAACATATATACATACATTATATGAAAAAGAACAATGTCTATCTAATTAAAAAAAAGTTCCACACTCAATATTAAATTATCTTTGACCATGCTTTATAGCTTCCTCAATCTCCATGGAAGAATAATTAAATAGTATCAAAATCAAGATAAGACACAACTCTTTTGATATATTCTTAGAATATTTGATCAGATTATTTTGAGGTGTATTCATCTATTCTTTGTTTAAGTTTTCCATACCCTAATAATCTCTAACCTTCACAATATATATAATGCATACAAACAAAACAACAATAAAATATTTTCATGGCCATAAGGATGGGAATAGTGCACACATTAGAAACTTTTTAAGCAACTACAATTAAAATGCGCATAACATCACAACACTTTATTATTTAAGCAGCATTAACAAGTGTAAAGAATAGAGACATGCTAAGATAATTCATTTCATGAATATAATTACCTTCCATGGAATAGACTTGGACTTGAGATTACATTTAGAATGTGGAATAGGTAACTCTTCACCGCAGGAAACAAGCTCATGCTCCATATCAGAATCTTAGTTAGGCTGATAAATCTCATTATCCTCTGAAACCTTTTTTATTTTAGCCTTACTACGACTGCCTCTATTGTTTTGAACTAGTGCCATCAATGACTTGGCCTGATCCTTCAAACCTAGCTCTTTCATTTTAGACCCATTTTCTTTGATCCTTTCCATTCTAACTCTCTCATATCCCGGTGTTCTTGGTTCACGAGTCTGATGCTGATCACCAGAACCTCTTATAGCTCCAAGCTTAGTTAATTTTTTCTTTGCCATACTTGAAGCTAATAAAATTTGAAAATAAATCCAATGAAACAGAAGAAAAAAACACATATATGTACATATATAAGCTGTCACAAAGCAAGCTTGTATAAAATGAAAAGCAAAAACTAAGCTAAGGGGTAAATATATGTAAACTAACCAACAAAACACAAATAATTAATCAAAGAGAAAAAAAATAAAGCATCAAGTTGATGATTTTTATTACGCAGTAGTGTTAAACCGTAGTAAATCAGGTTTCTGCAACTGCTAGTCTCATGCTATGTGGGTTTGAACTTTATGCACTATCCATACGCCAAATCAAACCTTTATAACTCAATTAGAGTTCATCTACAACATTATGAAAATAGAAATCCTCGAAGTATGAATCAAACTATAAGTGGAATTTAAATTTATGAAAAATAGAAGTACACATAAGAAACCAAATGAAATTAAGATTGGATTAGAGCACTTTGTTATTGGTCAATCAATTGGATCATGAATTATTGCATAGTCAGCATCATGTGTTGTTAGTAACTAATACTAGTCCTCAACTTCTAGTTTCTCAATTTCAATTTAAATTTTGGTAATGTACAATAGTACATAATAGAACCCTGTAGCCTACGGCCTACCCATAACTTGTTTTAAACCTCCCCCCACCCCCTCTCTCTCTTTATCTCTCTCACCAATGAATAATATGCAAAATAGAGTAAATGAAAGTGGGTATTGCTTATAGTATTAATATTTGAAATTATACATCCAAAATTAGATGTTTTCTTTCAACGTCACTGTTTGTATGCCAAAGTGCCTAACTTACATTATTGATGAAATTCCACAGTACAATAAATGAAAATTAAAATTACATGCATATAATACAATCATTAGAGTAAAATCAACACATGCTTTTCAAGTAAAATCTATGGAAGTCAAAGACATCCAAAACAAATTATATATACCCGTCATAAAAATCAACTCAGATCAAAACAAATTAGTATATACCCGTCATAAAAATCAACTCAGATCTAACATCAAAATTAAACAACCAATTATAAAGAAACCATTTACTTCAGATATAAAAGGAGGCAATGAAGACTTACTAATGAGATACAGAGAACAACGACGTCTTCGCCAGTACCAAAGGTCAATCTCAAAAGCAAAGGAGCAGTTCAGAAAAAAGCAAATCAACTAATTCATTGCAAAATAAATACACCCTTAATCAATTCGCACCTCAGCATATCTAAAGGCAATTGTGTAACTGGATAGTGAGGGAAGCAGATCAAGAAGTGAAACGTGAGTAACTGTTTCTTAGTGGGAAATTGTTGGAGCCAAAAAAATTTCACCATGTTCGCGGGTTTTGGAGATGAAACCGACAAACCTTTGTTTTTTTTTTTTTTGGAAATAAATGTCCAAGTTCTATCTGTCATTCTTGTATATAATCTTAGTATAGCTTAATATATTGTCTAGATTCATAGGTTTCATCACCCATCCAACGGTACTAGTGTACTACTTTTTTTTTTTTTTTTTTTTTTTAATTTATTAATTTATTTTCACTCTTATCTATTCACAAATAAAACATTTACAAATTTTGTACGCGGCTGATCACATGGTGCGACAAGGGTTACTTGTATGGCGTTAATTGTATTTTGGGGTTACTTGTAAGGTGTTACCGATTTTTGTCGGGGTGTTACTTGTAGGTGTTACTTGTATTATGGGGTTACTTGTAGGGTGTTACTGGTTTGGTATGGGGTTTGGTCGGAGGTTATTGGTAGGAGTTACTCAGAATACAAGTAACACCTACAAGTGACCCTGTAAATCATTAAATGAAGGGTTTTTATTTTGGTGAAAATAATTGGTACTTTAAAATCTGTTCATTTTCAATTCAGTTCTTAATTTCCTTCTCTTATAAAATATTCATTTCAGCTCATTTCAAACTCTTTAGCAATAATGAACTTAACAATAAATATAATTTATTTGACCAATCTATACTTTTCACTATAATAAAATTAACAGATCATGTGAATATGTGAGTAAAGATTATTGTTGAAGAATAAATCAAGATAAAGACTTTAAATTTAAGATGGATGGGTTAGTTAAGTTGATATTAGTTTATAGTATAGATAGATAGATTAATGAAAAACATGTAGAGATCAAAATAAATATCAATCCTCAATACCTAAGGGTTTCTAAATCTACCCAATACCCTATAATCTCAATTCTCATACCCACCTCCCCCCATAAAAAATTTCAATTCATTGTATTAATGAAGAAGTATAGAATCCATTCCAACAATAATAACTAAACAACTATAATTACACTAGTATGATTTATTTCTGGTATGAGATCAATCGATTCCAAGTATATCATTTCGGTACATTTTAATGAACCAAATCAAACACCCCCTTGGTTGAATGGTAAATTGTACTCGGTACTTGAAAGTCACTTATTACTCCCTCGTACGAACTTTTAAAAATTTACCTTTTCAAAACCTTATGTTAACTTATATGTCATAAAATAAGTAAAAATAAACTTACAATCTTTGGAATATGAAAAAAAATATACACACTCAATTACAAGGAGAACCAAAGACCCCCTCTTTTTATGGTACACAAATGAACAATAACTATCAAAATAACCAAATACTACAATCCCACAAATGTGAAAGTAAAATTGTATAGATTGTTAGGAAAATAAAGTATTTAATTCAATAGTCACAAAATGTCCATGCAATTATATCTAACCAAACTCCATCCATTGTTGTGTTTAGGCATTAGTTGATCAAACTAAGGATTTTCATGACTTAGGGCCTGTTCATATTTACTTAATTTCAGTTCATTTCAGCTCCAATCAGTTTAGTTCAGTTCAGTTTAGTTCAACTCCAATCAGTTCAGTTCAGTTCAACTCCTAATTTCCTTCTCTCATAAAATATTTATTTCAGCTCAATTCAGTTCAGTTTAGTTCAGTTCAGCTCCAATCAGTTCAGTTCAGTTTAGTTCAGCTCCAATCAGTTCAGTTCAGTTCAGCTTCTAATTTCCTTCTCTCATAAAATATTTATTTCAGCTCAGTTCAGTTCAGTTTAGTTCAGTTCAGCTCCAATCAGTTCAGTTCAGCTCAGTTCAATAAATGTGAACAGGCCCTATGCTCAACTATATACTTCTTTCAAAAAAAAATAAAATAAAATAAAACTAAACTACATACCGATTTTATTCGATCTAATCAACCTAACAACACTTTTATTAATTCATTTTATACTCAATTTGATTAAAATTCGACCTGAAAATATTCAATTATCTGACTTGGTGTTGACCTTATCTAAAATTCGACCTGAAAAAAATCCAATTACTAAACTTGGTGTTGACCTTAACTAAACCCAAAGTTGACTCAAATCGACTTTACCCGGTACTTAGCTATCTAAACCGAATTGTGATCAACTCATTATTTATTCAAAACCAATAAATCCCAATGATTGAAGATCTAAATTCGATCTAACTCTAGTTCAAAAAAAATTCGATCTAACTCGAAACTTCTAAAACCATTTTTATATCCAAAACTACTCACGACCCGATTTAACCCGGCCCAAAACTATGGTGCCCGAATTAACATCATGTCAAATGGTTTCGTTTTTATTTCATACCTAACTATTCAATTTTATGCAGCAACACTCCTTCTCTTCTTTCTCCTCCATTGAAGCGTACTCTAAAATCTGCATTGAAGCATCTTCTGAGCTTTCTCTCCACCATTGATATATCTTCTGAGGTAAGATTTCATTCTATAATTGCTAGAATGTCAATTTCACAGTCTAGGTTTTGATATTACATTATTACCTAATTTTTATTTCAATTGTGAATGTAGTATTAAATTGACAATTCATCAAATTATAATGTGGATTATGAACTATTGATTATCATTGCTGAAATAAAAGCTTATAGGTAGCTAATTTTGTAATTAGTTTGATATTTGTATCATAGCTCAGCAGTCTGAACTCAGCTCATTTTTATTGTCACAAACATATAAAATGCATAGGTTAATTAATATGGTATGCCAAGTTATATATTGTACACTCATGGACCTTTTCAAGATTAGTAGACAATAGTCGTTCTTGATTTGGCTTTAGCTATTGCCTACTTCCTCCTTTGGTGCTCTGCTATTCCCTTTTTCCTGTCTAAATTTTTTATTACTAACATAAGCAATCTAGAGAATGACACTATATCATAGTTAACAGTATACGATGTATTGCGGGGGTAACATAAGTAGATGATCCTGTGTTGTCATTAGAATACGATGTATTGGATCTTCTGGTTTTTGTTATTGTTCACTCTGGCTAAAGTTCTTTTCTTACATCCAAGTTTGACTGTGAGTTTTTACATTTTTTATTTGGTACTCATGGGTTTAATTGATTTCCATGCTTATGTTACAATCATAATCGTGTTGTATTCCTTTTCAACTAGCATAAGTAGCTATAATTGTTCTTTTGTGTGTGTCTGTGCTAGTTATGAAATCTTGCAATTTCTCTACTCCCCTCTCTAGCACCTCTCTAGGGGTATGACTCAATTATGGTATTGTAATCTTTAATTAATTTGTAATAAAATATACTACTTTTTCTTTGATTGTTTATCATCTAAGTTTTGATGTGAGTGAACTTTGCTGATCTAACCTTTTGTCCTCAATATAAGATGATATGTTGCTTTTATAAAACTACATTTTGTAAAATCAGCAAGCAGCCAACCACAAGCAGCAGCTAGCTGCCACCAACAGGCAATCGCCATCAGCACCAGCTAGCTTCTAGCAGTAGGCAGTCGGAACAATCCCTTCACATCAATCAGGAATATGATTGATGTGAAGGGATTGTAGAGTACAGATAACCTGGAATGATTTTCATATTTACCCTAAAAGCAATTAAAGATGCCACACAATATTGCCACCAAGGGAGGAAGAGGCTATCAGCCTATTTTGCTATAGCAAGAAGATGAATAATGTAATCAAAAGAAAGAAGTTGCAGTTTGTGAAGAGTTCTTGAAAACATTTGACAGTCATTTGAACTGGCAGGAGACTTTAATGATACTTGAGTTACTCACATTCTGTTTGTATCACTAGCACATTTTTTCTCTGAATATGATTAGATTTGTGTTCTAATTTGATTTTAAGAAGTGCCTACTAATGGCCTGCTGCTACCTTGCTGTACTACTGCTACCCGCCTTCGCGCCTTCTACATTGTGCTGCTGCTGCACATTATTATTGTCTTTTTTTTCCTATTTTTTTTTGCATAGCAGCCAGTTTTTTGTAATTCTTTTTATTTTTAAATTATTTGTATGGTATAATTAACATCAAATTCTACTTGTATGAAAATAGTAACTTTTACATATATATTCTATTTTCTACATTGATTTAGCTTAAAAATGCTGTTGTGAAATGTCAAATTCACCAACCATATATGCACTGGCTTGGTTGAATTTGTGAGCCTTTAAGGTTAGAATTACCAGTGCTAGTCATTTTTTCTAATCATCAACTATCATTGTCATACACAACTTGATGTTAATGTTTTCAAATTATTGAATAGTTAATAATTTTGTTCCTATTGACAATAATTTGTTTATTATTATTATTTTAAAACCAATGTTCTAAATAATATGTATTATGCAAGGCAATGAAAACACATAAAACATTCGTTGTCTTAGATACCTTGAAAAACCATTTTTTAAATTATTGCATTAGCAAGAATTTAATTGTTGTGATCTTTTTAGACAACATTTAAAATAATTGTTGTCTTATGTAAAAATAAATGGCTACATTTTACATATTGTTGTCTTACATAATCTAAAGCAACACTTTTAAACCGTTGCATTGTCATATAGTACAGATTGTTCAAGATCAAGGTAACAAACAAGTATTGTTGCCTTTTACTACCAAAGGCAACGTTTGTCATTTTGTTGCAATTTTGTCCGTTGCCTTTTCTCTTTTTTTTTGTAGTGTAATTTCAGTTCATTAAAAATAATTTCAGTTCAGTAAAAATTAGTTCAATTCAGTAAAATTCAGTTTTCTTAAAGAAAAATTATAATAGAAAATCAGTAAAAATAATTTCAGTTTAGCAAAAATATTTCAGTTCAGTAAAATTAATTTAAGTTCAGTAAAAATAATTTAAGTTCAGCAAATATAATTTTGTTTCGATAAAAATACCTTCAGTTCAGCAAAAATAAGGTGAAGAGAATGGGGCCTTAATGTCCTCCGTCGAAAGCTTCAACCTCCATTAATCTATCTCCTTCTTCTTTACCTTCTTCCTTCTTCCACCGACATTATAAATACCACCATTTTTAACATCTCCTACACCAGCTTTCACTGAGAAATTCGACACTACGAAAATGAGTGACATTAAGGGTGTGGTCAATCCAAAGGGGTAGGGGTAACCATTTCCTCCATTGAAACATGCATTAAGCTAGATTTTGTTCATTGAGTTTCTCCGATCCATTGATGTTCTTCAGTGTTGTCTCTTTGTGAATTGATGTCTTAAGCTTGAAGATATATAATTAATTTTTTGGGTTTTCCTAAGCTGTACCCCTAAGGTATTCGAGTTTCTAAGGTGTACCCATGCTTTTTCAAGTTTCTAAGTTGTGCCCTTCAACACCTTATCAATATTAAAATGTACCCTTATTAGTTGTTTAAAAGTTATTTGAGAGTGTGATTTCGTGGCTTCAATTTTCATTATTAGGGTTGCGGTGGCTAAGATTTCTTTCTCCTACCATTTCCTTACCTTTTATCATCTTTCTATTAAATTTGTAGTTAACTTTAGGTGATGTGGAAGTCCCAAGGAGGGTACCATTCATTAATGGTAGTGAGTTGAGGGGCACAACTTAGAAACTTGAAAAAGCATGGGTACACCTAAGAAACTCGAATACCTTAGGGGTATAGCTTAGAAAAACCCTAATTTTTTTAGTTGAAATGACATGATTGTGTCTACTCAAAGGCATAAAATAACGTTAATACCCTTAGATAAATAGAGTTTGTTTATCATGAAGATAAACTTGTATTTTCTCTTCATTTTGCAAGTTGCTATAAAGATATAAACATATGTTTTTTTTACATTTAAAAATTCTTTAAAGTTAACGCTAATCTATTTTTACGGTTACGACTTAAATTTTGATAAAATATTAATTTTTGTTTATCATATCTTCTTTTTTAGCTTTTGTAGTTGTAGGTATTGAGATCATGTGAGAACCAAGGTGAATAATGAGAACTAGGGCCTGATCTAGATTGTCCATCGCGTTTTATTAAACGGTTTACACTTCACCCGCCTCATTGATGGAATTTTCGTAATTACGCAACTTTCTAAACATTTTTTTTTTAAAATTTTATTCACTTTTAAAGCAATTTCATTTACTTTTTGACATATATTGTTTTATTTATTTATTATTATTATTATTATTATTTTTTGCCTTAACTAACTTTTCATTCACTTTTAAAAATATAATATAAAGTGTGTATTTCTGCATGATTAACACAAGCCATTTAAGAATTTTTCGGTAAGTTAAAAGAAAAAGTTATGTTCACTAAATAACTAAATTTTTGTCCTAAACGTGTTAAGAAAATATGAGTACAAAATTTAGTACTTAATGTTAATATGGGCATCATGTAACAATCAAACATCTCATAGATAGAATGACAACTTCAGCTCTTAACAAAAAAATTCCAACTAATAAAGCCTCATGTGTGCGCGTTTAAAAAATTTAATACAGCATAAAGTTTCTATTTTTGCATAATTTGTTATATAATACACCTACCTCTTTTACGTATATAAGCACTAGAACCTACATTGATTAAACAAACAAAATATAAAATTGATTACCTATATAAATAAATCATACTAATTCTCTTGCCTTAATTAAGTTTCTCTTGTAATCCTTATTTTATTTTTTCGCCATTTTTCTTGGGTAGATTTTCACCATGGATATCAAGATTGAAACTAAAGAATCTTTAGATAATCAGCAACAACAAAGGCAACCTTTTCTGGAAAATGAATCAGAGCAAACAAAACAACCAAAAACTCGAGCCCAAATGGCCATTAGAAAAACATTTAAGAGCACATCCCACTTATCTAGCCTCCTCCCCTCAGGATCAGTCCTCATCTTTGAAATTTTTTCTCCTATTCTAACAAACCAAGGCCGATGCGAAACTTTGCAATCCCATTTCTTAACATTAAGTCTTATAGCTTTCGTTGGTTTATCATGTATTCTCATGTGTTTCACTGATAGCGTAAGGGATGAACGTGGTAAAGTTCGATATGGAATTGCAACATTTAAAGGCTTATGGATTATTGATGGTTCTGTAACTCTTAGCCCCGAACAAGAAGCAAAATATCGAATTAGGGTTGTGGATTTTCTTCATGCAGTAATGGGGATATTTGTTTTCATGGCTGTTGCTTTGTTGGATCAAAATGTTGTCAAATGTTTATTTCCATTGCCATCTGAAGAAACCAAGGAGAGACTTGCTATGTTTCCTATTGGAGTTGGAATTGTTTGTGGTTTATTGTTTGTTTGTTTCCCTAGCAAACGTCATACCATTGTATCTCCTCTTTCTAAACACTAATTATTGTGAAATTACTTTTGTTTTTTCTCTTATATATTGGGTGAATAATCTAATGATGCTTTTCAAATTATTTAATATTCCACCTCGGTTCTCAAAAAGAAAAAATTATTCCACCTCATATTTTTATAGTGTAATGAGGTAAAGAATGAGTTTACAAATACATTTTTTATCACTTGTTTTTCTTATTTTCTTTTACGTAAATAAATGTATTGTTAAATAAAGATTTTTTAGTTTCTTTGATTTATATCACCGATACAAAGTACTTCGTAGTAAACAAGCATATGATACAATATTAGGAAATGTTGACGGCCATGGAGAGTGAAAATGTATGTGAAACTTTAATAGATTAATAGGCTCATCTCACCTTGACCATGTGAAAACATTTGTATTGTCCAATTACCCTGCATAGTTACTATAGAAAAATTGTCTTCTAAATATGCCACAAATTTTAGATAATTCTTTATTATAATCCTCAGAGTTAAGGGCAAACTGAATATGCAATCTGTTTACTAGCACTTTATTTACTGCATCTATTTGAAAATTCACACTAAAAAAAGAGATGATAAACTATCTCTTCCCTATAATTGTAGAGGATATTGAGCATCTGGAGTCAGCTATCTTACAAAGATGAGCTTTAATTTTGATCTACAATTCTAGAGAATCATCTAGCTGATGAACTTATGCTTAGGGGAACTTATGTTTCAGACCCAACTACTCTTCATGACTCCGAGTAAGCCATTCGTACCCAATAGCTATAGTGTACTTAACTCTTCATTACTCTGAGTGAGCCATTCGTACCCACTAGCTATAGTGTACTTATCCTTCTCAATATTCTTTTGAAGGGATGAATATTTCAAACATCAACTTTGAGCCCCACTGTGATCATACTCTTAAGCATAGTCGTCAACAAGGTAGAGCAAAAGAGTCGTCAACAAGTTTAAAAATTTGTAAACCTTCAACGGGTGTGAAGATACACCCCTTTCACAATCACAGAGCTCTCTAACTCCATATTGGTTCTGAACCATGACTGGGTATTCGGGGATGATTGTATGAATCCAACCTAGAAGATATTGAACTCGCCCTAAATGGGCCTCTACTTTATTCTTATCATATTCATATTTGCTTTCTGATTAACATACAATCAATAAATTAATCCTAAACATATTTAATCTACGTTGGTTGATTATTAGTGCACAAATAAATCTATTATTGGCGATCACTTTAAATAGATCATATTAGCCTAAATCAAATTATTAATTATCTTATTAAGCGTGATTTCAAGCATAAATTCCCTTTAAACCTGCAAGAGAGGGCGTGATCAAGTAATAAAAATAAATTATGAATAATCAAGCAACATATTAATTGACACAACAATCATGATCATAATAATAATCATCAAAGTATAATATTAACAAGTTCCAAGGCATGACGCTAACATGATTAATAATAAATCCTATGGTACTAGAAAACAATCAAACCATCCAAACATGATATATACTAGGAATTAATAAAAGGACTTTTTGTCAAAAACTATCTATTAAAAGCCATTTTTTGTGAGAAACTATCTAATAAAAAAAATGTTGTAAGAAACTACCTATTAAAATGAAACTATTGTAAAAGACTACCCTTTCACCGGATTTTCACCGTTGACTAATTTTTCTGGAATTTTTTTTTATTAGGTAGTTTCTCACAAAAAATTCCTTTTAAAAGGTAGTTTATGACAAAAAGTCCTTAATAAAATAATATAAGCATGATTTTTATAGAAATTGAGCAATCAAATTACTCACTTTGAAGCCTCGTT